AGCTGAAGTTGCATTTATTACAAGATGTGTTATTTTAAAGATACTAATGCACATGTATTATCAGTAAAGCATCTTATCCAGACTGCCCTGTTCAGGCCCTGTCTGAATTGCAGTTACTGTTGTTGTTAATGGGGTCTTATGCATATCTAGACATGTGATTTGGGCACTACGTTACATGTGTGGTAGATGACAGTTCTGTACAATGATAAAGCTCTGCAGTCATCACTTGCTTTCATCTTCATTGTGAAAATGAACTGTTTTATTTAAATTTGGGAAGAAAAAAGGTCTTGCATTTGGTTTCCATGTGCTGGTGCTTCTTAGATAGACTGTGCTTGTCCTAAAGGTCTCATGGCAGGGAGGTTGGAACTCGATGATCTTTAAGGTCCTTTCCAACCTAAACCATTCTATGATTCTATGATAACAGTTTCTCCGATCAGCCTGGTGAATGACTGTATTTATCAGTAATTTGGTCATGAGTTTCTAAAGACAAGTACTCTTGAGTCAAGGAAAACCATGAAAAGAAATTATTCCACTTACACATGAAATGGTCTTCTTTAAACTCCTACTGTCATGTAGGAAACTATTTCTTTTCCCTTTAAAAACATTTTCTCATCCTACCTGTGGCTGCTAAGTAGAATGGAATTTTGGTTTCTTTTTTAATGATGTACGCTGTTTTTAATCTTTGCTTATGTTAAATCAATTTCCAAACATTAACAGTGAAATAAATAAGCTTATTATCCCCCTACACAATTCACTCAGGAAAGTAATTTTCAAAACATTTTGAAGGACAACAGCGACAAAATATTTGTCATCTCACTCTATGAGAAACCTTACAGGGGAGCCAAACATGATGGGTTGTATCAGTGAAGTTTTACTGCATTGAATGATTACCAGGTGATCTGCATAAGGGCAATCGGCAAACGTATCATTCTGAGACAACTGCAGGTATAGGAAAATGGGAATATCGACTTCAAAAAAACCAAGAAGACAAAAATTCTAGCTTCTGAACATCAGTTTTGCAGTATTTGCTCTTTAATTCATCCCTTTGATGAAATAAAAAATCCTGCCATGTGTCTCTTAAGGTTAGTAGCCATTAATCAGTTTTTGCATATTAGAGATTACTGCAGTTTCTGGCTATTAACCAAGAAATTGAGCATGCCCTGATGGCTGTGATAACGGAAGCTGATGCTTCTGTTTTCTAGCTCTCTTTGCACTTTATTGAGGTATATGACAGATTGAGAGCCCATTTTTAATTGCAGTCTGTCCCAATACCCTTCACTTTTTTTTTGTTCGGAAGTCATAGGAGGACATGGTAAGACTTAGCTAATATACTGTGTTGAAGAAAGAATTGTTAAAGATCAAATCACTAATTGGGATGTTTTGTCTCATTCTGTAATCAGGGCTTTATCAAATCATTAGAGAAATTTCAGGTGAGTGCAGGGGTACCTAAAGCATTTGTAGGAAAGGATGTAAGCAGACACAAAATTTTATTCAAAGATTCAATTAAAAAACCTGAACCTAGATGGCATTCAATAAAGCTCCTCTGAAAACAGACAAGGAGCCCAACCTGAAACTTTGGTTTGGGGATGAGGAGGGTTGGCCACATGGTGGAGACCTGATCCATGGATTGATTAGTTTTGCTATATTGGAGGCCTCAGAAGAAGCCACCTTTACTTGCGTTCACAGAAAACGTGACTGTGGTTAATTTCTTTTTTTCATGCTAAGTTGCATGAAGATTTATTTTCTGGTAGTCTTAAAATTTGGTTTCTGCAGCAGTTTTTGTTTCCATCATGCTAGTGTCATGCTAGGTCAGCTACCGCCAACATTTGTGAGTAAAGTGGCAAAAAAACGATGAAGACAGGCATGTATAAAATACATAGCTGGTTCTTTTTAAAATGCTTCTTCCTTGTTTTGTTCACTTATAGTTCTCACCACCTCCAGGAGATCCAAAACCTGCTTCTGAGTGAAACATAATAGCCTTTCCCAATAAAGTGATACTGGGAAACACGTTTTAGAAATACCAATGTGTGTTGCCAGGTGTTGTGCTGTGGCTCTGGTACCTGCTACCCTGCCTTCTGCAGCCCTTCTGGTTTGGGGAGAAGTGGTCAAAGATGGAGGAAAGTCAGAGAGTGAGCTGTTCCCCTCTGCAGCCACTTTCAGAAGATGGTTGCAAGTAAGGCTGGCTTTGTGAAGGCCTCCAGGTAAAGACTGTGGTTGGGCTGAGATCTGAGCAAGGAGGAGATGATTTTCCAGCCTGCTGAGGGTTGTCCTTATGCTTAGTGACATCTGATCCACTTTGGACGTTCATCCGGAATTAACTTTGTGTTTCAAAGTTCTTCGTCTGTGTTAATGTGTGTTCCTCCAGGGCAACAGTGGTTTAGATGTGCTCTCCTGAGGGGCCACCGAGGGCCCTCTCAGGCTATTACAGCTATTACTTTATGCATCTATTAGGGAAAAGCGCAGTCTCAGGAATGAGAATGGAAATATTCTAGGTTCTGGTTTTAACGATTAAGTTGGTTTTTGTTTTTACTTACTAGTGAAAGCTAGTATGCATGCAGTGACATAAAAATGTTTAAAATAAATGCTGG